TCCGAGATGACTCCATCCGGTCTTCGACTAATTTTGGACATTAATTTATTTTAGCTTTTTCATTTTCTTGTATCAACTGCAATCGATGTACTATTTTTTGTTATTTAACAATAATTTAATTATTTAACGACGTTTTAATACATTTCGAATAATAAAAATTTACGTTTACGATATTTTTATGAGATTTTGGTTATTTTAAAATAGTTACTTTATCTCATTTTATTATAGTCTGTAAAAAAAATTATTTTTTGAATTCGCGACGAGTCTTAGAAAGACTCTAGACCGTCGCTAAAAATAAAATATTACCAACGAGTTTAGACCATCGCTAAAGACAAAAATATTAGAAACGATCTAGACCAGTCGCTAATCCGTCTCTATTTAGAAACGGGCATACCAAAGGTTTAATAGATCGTCGCTAATTTTGTAACTGTTTACATCGATATTTAGCGATGGACTAGCAACGTTTTTTATCGTCGCTAATTTTGCAACGGTTAAAGCCGTCGCTAAACAATACCGACGAGCTTTTTAGCGACGGTTACTAGACCGTCGCTAATTAGTCGCGAAAACGTTTTCGCAATGGTTTTTTTTATTTAGCGATGGTTTTGCTCGTCGCTAATTGGCATTTATCTTGTAGTGGAAATGCCATAAATTTAGGATGTAGCATTGTGATTTGTTGTAAATCTCCATTTTTATTCTCAACTATAAATCTCTCTCGAAGCTGAATTCGCCTATGTCACCGACAAATAAACCACCAATGTCATTAGAAGTAGGAAGATCATATTGTCTACTATCCTCTCTTCTTTATCCTAACAACCTTAACCTATAAGGACTATTAGCATTATTTACTATTCTATCTCGTGCCATGCAAAACAATTAAACTAATTCATTAGTACAATTAAGTTCTTCTATTAGACTTTGAACAATACTTTCATCAAGTGTAGATGACTGTTGTGTACCATCGAGAGTACAAATTCGATTTTGAGTCTCATTTTTTGTATCATAAATGTACAATTGAGAAAATTTTGGAGATTCACCATTAAGAGGTAAGAGAGAACCCATCAAATGGTGTGTTTGTCCACTAATCTTAAAAACATAAGGTCCTAGTCTATTATTAACCGAATGGTCAATCATTGTACCCATAGAAGTGAATGCAAACATTGAGTTGTAAGCTCTAATATTATCTCTAAATTTGAGAGAATAACTTCCTTGATCCGGATCGAGCGGACTATTGAGAAAAAGCGGTGTTGATTGTATTGATTGCGAGAGAAATCTTTCCACCTTAACAATGAAAGAGAAAACTTTGGTTCGTTGCAAGGTTGATTTTTGTTTTAATCATTATTGAAGCCAAAACGAGTGCACCACAATATTGACATTTATGTGTTTTATCACCAAAATCAATGTATTTGTCAATAAAGTCTAAAAAATGAAAGAAAAAACAAAAAAAATCAATAAAAGGCAAAATGATAAAATAAAATCATAAAACATATAACTAAACATAAAAGAAAAAAGACCAACTTTTTCGTTTTCTTTGATAGCAAGCTTGCCACTTGTTGTCTTAGTCGATGAGGTTCTCTCTTAACTTGTTGATCATATGAACATATAAGAATATGACCATCAATGTATCTAATCAAACTAGTCTGTTTGAGAATTTGAAGAGCCACTAAAGACATTGGTTGTTGATTCGTCATTCACACATAAAGGCCGCGAACTTGAACATTCATTAATAGAATCTATAGTTGTATTTTTGAATGTAGATAAGAAACTACGATGAACTCTCCTCTTTTTGTGTAGAAAAACAAGCTTATTAAGGGAACTACTATTGTCATCAACATTCTCGACCAATCTTGATTGACCAATACCACCCACATCACCCAATCTAACATGAGGGTTTTTAGTTGTAAAGGCTTGCTTGCAAGATCGGACTCCTTCGGTAGTTCTAGTTTTATTAACCATTACCAAGACACTATATGACGAGTAGATGAACTCGATACATAATACAAACAAATAATGATAAGGCATAAAAATATTTAGAAAAAGAAAAAGCGAATCGAGTAACACTAATTAAGTATAACTAATAAATTAGGCACGAGAAGTGAGAAAAATGCATAATTGACAAAGCAAAGGAAAATTCAAAACTGTAAAGAAAATTGAAGGCATACCTAGGATGAGAGCTCTAAAAAAAGAAGCCATGAAATTGCTGGAGAGAAACGAAATAAATAACAACCTTGTGCAAAAAAAGCACCGATCATTGTCTAAATCAAATAATCTATATAACGTATAAAAAGGGGGAAAATATTTTAAAGAGCAAAAAAGGAAATACGGACCTAGAAACAAAGCGAGTAGGAAACACCGGCACGATACTCTAATTCTACAATAACAAAAATTTAAACGAAATAGGATTAGCTACACTTTGTAAAATACATTCTAAAAACCTAATATGATAATGACCGAGCATGAGAAGAGCAATAGAAAAAGAAAAAATAAAGATAGAAAAACACAAAAAGATGCTACCAACAACAAATTTGAGGGAAGATAATTTAATACAAAGACAACATCTTACACACTTTTCATGAGCATTCAAACAATCTATACAAAGTAACATAGAAAAAATAAAGAAAAGAAAAAGAAAAAGGAAAAAAAATATGAATATACACCTCTAAAGAGTGAACCAAAGACTTGCAGAAACAAAACAAATGAAAAAAGTGGAGAAAGAAACATAATGTCTAGATTATATGTATCTTTTATTTGAAAATGAAAAAAAAAGATAGAAAAGAAAGAGGAAAAATTAGAAAATAAAAATTAGGTACGAGTAGCTAACTCAACAAACCCTACTAACATAAGCAATGAAAAAAATTATGGATTAAAAAAAATAAAAAAACATAAAATATAATAGCTTGCATAAATTACATAGCTAAGAATAATCATTATCACTCGAAGAGTCAAATATTGAGGAGCCAAAAATATTCTTGAAAAATGGATTAAATGAAAAATTGAAAAGAAACTAAATGAGAAACACTTATCTCTAATCGCCATCCAAAATCTATTTGAAGCCCAATGAAGGAAGCACATTACTCCAAGCAAAAATTAATAACAAACAAAGAAAGAATTTGGTTGAGATAGAACCTTATATTAAGAATAAGAGAATAAATTATAAATAAAAAATATTTGATAAAAAATCCGATAAGACAATAATGATTAATTTAACTTTTGACCTCATAGTTGTTAACCCACAACATAGACAATCTCCAAAAAGTCATACACACCACAATAGAATTAACCATGATTGAAGGGCTAATCTGTCACTAAACAAAGCCGACAATTCAAAAAAGAGGCACTTGGAGCTTAATCTCACTCGAATCTAAGTTAATTAAATGCTTGATAATAGAAATGATATTTTTTTTTAGTCTAAACTAGATTTTTTACCCGTGCTACTGCTGCGGATTGGATAAAATATATAAAATCATATAGAAAAATTATTTCAGTTTAATAATTTGTTTTATGATAAAAAATAATTTTAATTTTTAAATGAAAAAAATTTATATTTAACTATTTCTTATTTTTGTTTTTCAATTTTAGAAATAAATAATAAATCAAATAAATTATTAATTTCTTTAAAATTTTAACACTCAATTAATTGTTGATTCTTTTAAAATTTTAACACCTAATATTATTAAGAAATTAAAATTTTAAAAAAATCAATGTTTAGGAAAAAAAAAGGAGGCTAGCCGTTTCATCGTTCATGTGAATAGTAAACGAACGGAAATTAAAAAAAAATAGTGTTTAGAGAAAAAAAAAGAGTGCAAGCCATTTACCATCCAAATGAACAATAAACGGGTAAAAAAGGAGAGGGGAAAGGCCAACAGGTGCTGAGAAAAAAAATTAATGGAAATTAAAAAAAAACAAAACACTGTAGCAATGAACAGTGATTTTCACTGTTCAGTGCTACAGTAAAACCATTTTGCTTTAGTATATAGGATAATTACTTGGATTTCTCTTGATCTTGCTCTTTGGAAGAGATCTCGGTGGCTACACCTTAAGATTTGGAATCTTTATTTTCATCTTGCTGGCTGGAATCGGTGACTTCTAAAGTTTGAATTGCGTAATTTTGTTGCCATCACAGCTGCAGCAACACTGCAAATGTCAAAGTGGAGAAAATGTGGAAGACAATAAGGATGACGTGGTTAATTGTTAGCCACACCATACATAAGTAACTTGCACAAAGAAGCCATTTTCCTTGATTTTATGAAAAAAATTAGAAAACCCAATCACTGCCACATGTACAACTGTTTAACAGGCTCTTAAGAAAGGAATAAAAAAGGACTAAAATGAAAGCAAAATAAAAAACAGGGATGAAAAAAGTTTTAAAAAATTAACTAAAGGCCAAAAAATAGGGCTTAGCTATGATAGAATATTATTCTGTTTTAGTATATGGTATAATTACATATCCAACTTTGTAGGTAATCTAATGTCTTAGGACATTTGAGGTTTTCAAAAATTCAAGATTTTTTGGCTTTTGATTACTATCATATATATTTTTTTAACAGGATGATATTTTTATTTAATTATTTATGTAAGGATAAAAACAATAACTTTTTAAGGTATTAAAAATTGATGACGTCATTCAAAAAATTGAAAATTTAACGGAAGCCTCCTTCTTGTTTAAGAAAGTATTACACATGCATGTCTCCTCTTGTGCCTGTATTTTGGATATAAAAAGGATTTTTATAATATATCCAAACTTATGATGATGATATATGCAATTAATTTCATGATACCTAGAAGGATTATTATGATTTACCGTAAACATTTGAATACAAAATATAATGTGTCATATATTTTCTATCTTTGAATTTTGATTATGTCCAAAAAGCTCATCAAAAGCACAAACCAAATGCTTTTGAAATTTTCACAGCAGTTGTCCATAAACTGTGGCACAACAACAGAGTTACTTCCACTTTTTAAGCAGAATGCAGAAGACTTCCTTGTCGATGTCGGGGATCTCATTTATTGATCTTGGACTTCATCTTCCAGAAACGAAAAATCAAGAACTGGCAGATTTCAGAAACAAGAAAAATATGCGCCAATTGGAGAAGAAACAAGAAGATACAAACATGGAAAGCAGTCCCCACTATATAAGTTACACTGTCAACAAAGGGCTGGTCAGGCAAAACAGCAACAATTCCTGATAGGAATGCTATAGCTGCTGATTGAAGCGCTATACAAGTTAGCACCGTCGCACTTGCCAAGTAGTAAACATAGGACCCGTCGTTAATAACAACTCCCAAAAATATTATGCAAGCTGCAACTATGGAGCTGGTCATGGCAATCGCGTCCGTGATAATGAACCATTTTAGAGCTTTGCTTGAATCCAGTAGTGCTACGCCTTGCCTGGGGCCAAGATTGTTGTCAAAGCCACCAGGCAGTGTGAAAGCTGCTGCAAATGTTACTGTTGCTATTAGTGTTGCTACCATTAAGAGGGTATGACCCATTCGCTTGTAAGTTTGAGTCCTTGCAATAGCTTCATGGTCTGTACAATATCGGGGATTCTTTTTCTTGGTGATTCCATTAGATACGGAGCTAAGTTTCCTCCATATGCTTGTGATTATATTCTGCAGTGTTAGAATGAATATGGTGAATGCAATGTCAGGGTTTTATGTGTAGTTTTGCAGACTAATGCACTTGATTAAAAGCAATTGATGAAAGATAAGAAATGTTACTTACGCAGCGGTATGTAAAGCATGATTCTCTGATTGACTCATCGATATCGAACACTGACTGGCCACTTACATTTCTGGCTCTTTGATCCACTCTTTCATCCCATATCAAGCACAGCATGATCCATGTTTGTTTTTCAATAGCAGCCAAATGCAACGGTGTGTTCCCACCATTGTCCACTTGATTTACGAGACATTGTAGTTCAGCCGTTTCCAGCACACATCTAACCACATTTACTTTCCCACTAAGAACGGCAAAATGAAGAACACTCCTGCCATTTAGGTCCAGAAGTTCTCCAGAATCGGGGCAGTAGTAAATAATTCTTTCTACTACTTTGGCATGACCGTTCTTAGCTGCAACATGAAGTGCTGAACGACCATCTCTATCCAATGCATACGCGATACAGGTGTCAAATTCCAGCAATCTTTCGACCGCCTTGTGGTCTCCAAGGGATGCAGCATAATAGAGTGGCGTCCTGAGATGATGGTCAGCTTCTCTGATGAGTTGTGGTTTTTCTCTCAGGAGGATTTCCATGATATCTGACATCACATAGAAAATGAATTATTAAACTACAACAAAACAAGAGCTTCAACTCTGCTTAGTATGCCATTTCAAGCTTGAAAGATATAATACTGAGGATGTGAGCTTGAAAGATAAAATTGGCAGCCATTTAATGTAAAGGAAGTTAATAGAAAGAAGGAATTGTCCAAGCACAGGACACTACCTGAATGCCTCTCTATCACAGCAGCATGCAAAGCAGTTTGGCCCTCTGATCCTCCATGAGCTGAAGGAGGAGTTGATATCAGAATCTGATCCAAAATATCCTTCTTCCCTTCTCTAGCGGCAAGAAACAACGGAGACTGGCCAGCATAATTTTCAAAACAAGCCAACTCAGGATCAACCCTTAGCAACAACTGCACAACACTGATATTACCATTCATAACAGCCTCATGTAAAATTGTATTGTTGTCCTTATTTCCCTGCCTCAGTACGTCAAACTTGCTAGTTTTTCCATTTTGAGTGCTTATCCTTTTTGCAGATACAACCTCTTTCACCAGAAACCCAACAATAGAGAAGTGTCCACACCTTGCAGCAACATGTAGAGGACTGTCTCCATTGGAATTCAGCCTCGTAAGCAGAGACCTGCATCTATTATAGATTTCAACAACAACTCCTTTATGTCCAAATTGCACCGCAATATGGAGTGGTGTGTTCCCTTGTGGAGTAAGTTTAGTAAGCAGGCTTGGATTTTCATTGAGAAGGTGTAAGAGAAAATGAATGTTGCCTGATTTTGCAACTTTGTACAGCCTTGAATCCATGAAATCCTAGAGGCAAACAACTACGACAACTCTGTCCGAGCATTCTAGGGTAACTACAAGACGGTTCCAGGCTGCAATATGAACGTCTTGACCAATAATTTTTAGGCAAATCAAAATTCAAAGTTCCGACTGACTTTGAGGTATGTTTATCAATTATTAGTCAGAACATAACTGTTAACTATATAATGGAATGGTCGGTCAATGAAAGCTGTCTTCAGTTGCAGGATCCTCAAGGCAAGAAATAAATGCTCAAACCCCTCAAAGTCAATAAGTATCAAATCAACATTGAATACCACAACGCTATCCCGGCATTCTAGGGTAATACAACTCGGTTCCAGCTGACTTTGAATGGTCGGTCAATGAAATCTGTCTTAAGTTGCAGGATCCTCAAGGCACTAAATATATGCTCAAAGCGTCAGAGTCGGTATCAAATCAACATTGAATCGACCAAATATGTAACCGCTCATCTAATGCTTGAATGATAGATTGATTTATGACTGAATGACCATTTCAACAAAGAAACTTTAATATCAATCGATACTAAATCTATCGTCAGCACTAGAACAGCGGTAGATGATAACAATTTATTTTACTGTCACATTCTAGGAAAAAAAATAAAATTATGACCCCATCATGACTCTTAAACTGTACCTTCCTTCTTCATCTGGGCAAATGTAATTGGACTTGGAAATTATGGTGTCACTTAATCCAGATGGTTGCCAAAGTGGAAGAAAATAAAGAAATGCAATGACTGGATCAACTAAGAGAACAGAAGTAGATGTATTAACGAATCAGTTTTAATTGTAATGGTAAGTTTTTACAAGAATCTTTACCAATTGATATGTAATCAACTATACAAAGCTCAAAAATTTCATAGTCATATATATATATATATATAAAGACCCTCTGCTATAGGCATGACGTCCAGTAAAACGGGGTTGGTGGTGACCGAGAATTTGGAGAGTTTAGGAGAATATCAACAACTTTGACAGAATAGTTGAAGCAGACAAACTATATACTTTGGATTGGCTTAGTTTGGCATTCAAATAAAAGCCCATGAATTGCTGAAGATCAGTGTTATGTTCCTGGGCCAATAAGGGTTTGATTGCATAAAATTATGTGTGTACTGATGGTGAGTCGGGCTAATAGACAATCGTACAAATATCACAGGACATGTCGCATTGCCAAAATTTGCAGAAAATTGAAGGCATCAGTCCTGCCTAATGTGCCTGTAGATAACCCATTTTGTCCAAGTCAATTTTGATTGCTAGTGAATTTAAATCTTGAAGTAATCTTGTTTTGAATTTGGACTGAAATGCATAAATTGCATTCTTTAAGTCCTGCCATACAATTGAGGTCCAAATTTGAAAAAAAAAAAAAAATCGCAGCAAACGACAGCCACAAAGTCATGTACATTCACAGAAACACAGTAGGAAACTAGCGTCAAGGATAGGAAATAATAAAATATCTAATCGCCGCCCCAATCAACCAATTAGAGGCAGGATTTGGTCCTGCAAAAATGGGTTTTCCTTCCCGTGAGAGAACGGAGAGAGGTGGCTCCCATTTTACCTACTGATTCCCCTGTATATCTTCCTCACTCTCTCGCATTTCACCATTAAGAAAGCCAATCTATTCAGGCAGAAAAGTCCTCCACGATTTGAAAGCTGAAAAGTCCATTTCACAGTTTCCTTCACACAAACCTTACAGGTTCTCCACAAACAAAGCCAAAGCTATTCTTGGTGGTTAGTCATAAGAAGACCTAAAACATTTTCTTCAGGCCCTCGCCTATAACTCCATAAGCTAAAAGCCATCATTAGAAATCCTGGGGATTGATTGAAACTGGGTAAAAATCTCATTCTCATGCAACTATAGTAAAGTTAAAACGAGATATTTCGTGTGGGACGACACAAGAAGATTGAGAAAGGAGAGAAGATGAAAAAATGAATCATGTGGGTTTTATAAGCACTGGTTAAATCCCAGGATAGAATTTTGAGAATCCGAAAAATACTTTTTAAAATTATTGAGGTGAGACATGATTCTAAAATCCTACAAAACTTGTTGGAGGATTCTAAAAACTTCTCAGTATTTATTATTAAAAAAGATTACACAAATCAACTTTTGCTATAAACAGGTAATCGTCACTACAAGAAAAATTAGGATTAGGGATGTTTTTTTAAACCATAGCTGAAAAACAATTAATAGAGACGGTTTTTAGAAAATCATTGCAAACTACTCAGTATAAATGGGTTTTAGCGACGGTTTGTACTAATTCGGTCATTTTTTACTAATAATAGTGATGGTTCATATAAAACCATTGCTAATAAAAATAATATTTTAGTAATTAAACTATCGCTAATTTCAAAAATTCAATGAATTATAGCGACGGTTTACAAAACCGTCGCTATATATCCTTAAATTTAAGTGAATTTAGTGATGATTTTATAAAATTATCGCTAAATATGATTTTACTCTTAAATTTGAATATGGAAGCAATTAGCTACGGTTTTTTTGATAAAAGTCGTTGCTAATATCAATAAATTGAAAACCATCGCTAATATATGATCGTTGGAGGGAAAACGATAACTTCGAAAATTTGATTTAATTAGCGATGAGACCAAACCAAGTTGCTAAAAGTTTGAATCCCTAAAACCATACCGACTTGAAATTTTTCTCCAAATTTGTTTTCCTCCTTCTTCCAGACTCGTGCTTTCTCTCCTCCATTGCAGCTCCATATCTCCTTCTAAATCCCCTCCTTTCTCTTATTTTCTTCTTCCCCGCCATCTCTCCCCCTTTCCTCCTCCTTTTTCTTCTTCTTTCTCTCCTTTCCTCCTCCTCCTCCTTTAACCCTTCTTCTCCATGAACAAGTGCCACTACAAGCAGCACCCCTTCCTTGGCGCGAGTAGCTCTTCTTCCTTCTTGCGCAGCTTCTTTCTTCTCTAATCCTCAAATATTGTTATTGGTAACCCATTAAGTAATTTTTTTTCATTTATTTCAATAATTTAATTTTATGTTAATTGTTGTTGTTTATTATTTATTGGCTAATTGTTAGTGTAATTGTTGTTGTTAATTGTTAATTGTGCTCCTGTTGTTAATTATTTATTGTTTAATTGTTAGTTACTTTAATTGTTGATATTTAAAAAATTTAATTGTTAATTGTTGTTATTTTATTATTTATTGGTTAATTTTTAGTTAGTTTAATTTAATTTATTATTATAATTATTTGTTATTTGTTAATTAATTTAATTTTTTGTTAAAATAATTATTTAAGTGTTATTTTAATTAATTATGTGTTAAATAATTTTTATTTAGTTGGTTATTAAATTAAGTGTAATTGTTTGTATTTAAATAATTTAATTGGTCTTAAAATATTTAATAGGTGTTGTTAGGAGAATTAATTAAGTTATTAATTGTTAAATAAGTGATTTTTAATAAAGGTAATTAAATTTGTGATAAAGTAAATTATTTAATTAAATTTGTGTTAATTACACACACACACACACACACACACACACATGGATATATATATATATATATATATATATATATATATATATAATACCTGGACCCATTACTAAATAAATTAAAAATATATTAAAAGTTTAAGAAAAATATTTCGTGAGCATGAAATAATTGTAAATAGGTTGATGGAATATTTGGCATGTTTAGGATGATTTTTCGGTACTAAATGAATATTTTATTTGATTTGCGATGCATAAATAGTTTTATGCAAATTAATTATTTTAAGCATCATGAAAAATATTTCGTTTGCATAGAATATTTTCTAGAGGAGTGCTAGATTATTTGATGTAATTGGATGAATTTTCCGATGCTCTGTGATTATTTTATGTGAAGTTTATCGTGCATAAATAGTATTTTTGAGGTAAATTAATTAATTTAAGTGCTTTGAAGGTACAATAAAATTATCCAATGGGCATAAAAACATCATTTAGGATGGGTTGAAACATTTTATAAGCTTAGATGAATTTTTCTATATACAAGGAATATTTTCTATAGGAAATAGTGTATTTTTACACTAAATAATTAATTTGAAGGCCAAAATAAGTGTATAAAAATTATGTGAATAATGTTTAAATTCTTTTAGGAGGTTTTTGAGTTTATTATGAAAAAGAAATTTGATTTTGGAAAGGTATAGAATAAAATTTTAGAATTAGAGACTCGATTGCATAAAAATTAGGGACCTAATTGCATAAAATTAAAAGTTTAAACTTTCAAATTAAATTAGATATGAACTTTAGGAGTTAAAATTTTTTAGGAAACCTTTAAAGAAAGGACCTAAAGTAATCAATTGAAAAATTGAGGGACTTATGGAGGAGTAATTAAGGGAAAGATTAGTGATCTTAGGGACCAAAATTATGCATTTTTGGCCCATTTCAGCTCAATAATTTGGGTGTAATTAATGCATGCACAAATGGAAGGATTAGATTTAAAGAGAGTGATTAGATAGAGGGGCAAAATTTAAAAACTAAATGAATGGTTAGGATGAAATCAATTGAAAAGCTAGGATTAAAAGAAAAGTTAAGGGCCAACAATAAACCAAATGAAGGGTTGTGATGGAGTTAGTCAAAGGAAAAAGTCCACCTAATTTGCCTATAAATATGGGTGGTAGGAATTATGGAAAAATGTTGGAAAGTTAGCAAAATTAGTGGAAACTCTTGCAAAGTTTTCTTAGAACTCTACTCAAATTTTCACCTAAACACTTTTAAACACCCTAAATCAACTAAATAAGCAAGTAATTCAAGCTAGAAGATCAAGAATCACAAAGAGGAAAAATTTGAGTTTGGGCTGAAAATTGGAGCACAAAAAAGGAAGAAGAATTTTTCAAGTAATCCAACCTTTCAAGGATAAATTGGAGCTTGTTTAAGTATGTTAATCTCACCTACATCATAAAGAGTGTTTAGTTGGTGCCAATTGATGATTTGGATGCTTTAATTTGTGTTTATTAGCTTTAATTTTGAAAATTAGGATTAGGATTCTTGATG